AGAGTCACACCACCAGTCCTAGAGATGGCGAGACTGAGAGTCACACCACCAGTCCTAGAGATGGCGAGACTGGGAGTCACACCACCAGTCCTAGAGATGGCGAGACTGGGAGTCACACCACCAGTCCTAGAGACGGCGAGACTGGGAGTCACACCACCAGGAGCTTGACATGGGTTACATGACAAAAACAGGATTAGGATAACAAATGGCCTGGGCTTTGTGAGTGTGTGTGCGTGTGTTCATATTCATATGTGTTCGCATGCATGTTCACATGTGTGCATGTGGAGGCCAAGACATCTTACCTCAATCATGCTCCTCCTTTTTTTTAAGGTTCACTTTGTGTATAAATATTTTACATTCATGTATGTATATGTACCATGCGAATGCCTGTCAGAAGATGAAGTCAGATTCCCTAAAATTGGAGTAACAGATGGTGTGAACCACCAGGTGGATCTGGAAAGAACCCTCAGGTCCTCTGCGAGAGCAGGAAGCACTTTTAGTCACTGAGCTGCCACTCCAGCCCTCTCTCAACACTATTTTTGAGATGGTTTCTCACTGAACCTGAAGCTCACTGGTTAGCAAGACTCGGAAAGTTCTTGTCTTTTTAACTTATGAGAAGCAATCTAAACTCGGGTCCTTACACTTAAGCAGCAGACGCTTTACCATCTTCCTACCCCCATTTAGGCCTGGACCTGTGCTGCCCATCCCCGCCCCTTCATTCACTCGGTGACAGAACTGTGAGGCGACAGGAAAGGCACTGCCACTACAGAGTCCAGGGCAAACACCAAGGTCCCTCTCACCTTGAGGGTAACACTGGAGTTCAGGAGCTCAAGCTGCATCGGGACTACCACTGGGACGTCCTCATCCTCCAAGAAAGGCCCCAGACCATTAAGCACTGAGGTGAACAGCTCCAGGTCACAGCCCCGAAGTAAGAACCGCAGGAAGCCATTTTGTGTGGCCAATGGGGAATGAACAGAGGCACCAGGCCCCACCTCAAAGCGCAGGCCCACAGCAGGCCTGATGCGGCCAGTCTTCCGATTTGAGGACTCCTGGAAGCTCGTGCCTTTGAGAAGAGAGTTGAGGAAACACATTAATACAGAGACTAGTGTAAGCACTCCCCTATGCCTAGCACACACAACCCTATGCCAACATAGCAGAACCATCCTACCTCACAGGCGTGAACTAAGCCACAGAGAGTAACTAGCCCAAAGTCACACAGCTGCATACAGCAGAGGTGAGGTCTGCAGTCAGGCAGTCTGAGTCGGGCTTTTTGTTAGAATGCCCCTCAAGGGACAGGGGCAGTAAAAGGCCTTGCCTGAATTTGAGACACTGGGCTAACGGTGCAGGGAAAGTACTGAACATAAGGCCTACAACCTCAAACAAAGCATCTCCTTCTCTAGATGTGGCCTTCACATTTGTCACTCATCCATGCTAAGCCCTCCACAGTGCCACAGAGAACCATCTGGAGTTTCCCTGAGGCGAGAACCGTGTACTCGGAATGACTGTGGGAAGCAACTACCCAGAGAAGCTGGAACACCCCGCTTTAGTGATCTAGAATCGCTACCCAGAGAAGCTGGAGCACCCCACTTTAGTG